TCTCCGAATGGCTGCTAGGAAGCCAACCAATTTGGCCAAGGTAGGAAATGTGCAACAGGAAAAAGATGAATCTCCGGCTGCCTTTTTAGAACGGATCATGGAGGCATTCCGTACTTATACTCCCATGGATCCAGAGGCTCCAGAAAGCAAGGCAGCTGTTATCATTGCCTTTGTAAACCAATCGGCCATAGACATTAGAAAAAATTACAGAAAATAGATAGACTAGGAGAAAAAAAGTCTGCAGGACTTACTGGTAGTAGCCAAAAAGGTATATAATAACCGGGAGCCTCCTGAGGATAAGTAGGCTCGCGCCATGGCGGCTGCCAGCAGTAAGCAGACTCGAGACCTGGCCCGAATACTACTAGCTACCACTGCTGACTCCCCTGAGGAACGAGACCTCCATCTCCAGCAGCTGGCAGACGACTCAAGAGGAGGTAAAGGAACCAACAAGGGGGGGAAGCAGAGGCTGCAGAAAGATCAGTGCGCATACTGCAAGGAGATAGGGCATTGGGCCTGAGATTGTCCAAAAAGGCCAGCGGGAAGGGAAGCAAGACTGATTGAGTAAAAGTCTTAGAGCTAGATGAACTGAGTGATTAGTGGAGTTGGGGTTCAGACCCTCTCCCCGAGCCCAGGGTAACTCTTAAAGTGGAGGGGGCCCCTGTTGACTTCCTTGTCGACACTGGAGCGCAACATTCGGTCCTCCGCACCCCACAAGGAAAACTAGCCAGCAAGAAGTCCTGGGTACAAGGGGCAACTGGTATGAGCCAGTATTCATGGACTACCCGAAGAATGGTAGATTTGGGGACGGGTCAGGTATCCCACTCCTTTATGGTAATACCAGAATGCCCCTACCCGCTGTTAGGACGGGACTTACTGACCAAGATTGGAGCTCAGATAACTTTCAGACAAGGGGGGCCTCAGGTCACTGATGGCAAGGGCCACCCCATCCAGGTCCTGACCATGAAACTAGAGGATGAATACAGCTTCCACCAGGAGGCGCTCCCAAGAGAGGATAATATAGACAGATGGCTACAAGAATTCCCCTCAGTTTGGGAAGAGATTGGGGGGTGGGGTGGGGGCATAGGACTAGCCACCCACAGGACCCTGGTCCTGGTAGAGCTCAAGCCAGGAGAAGGTCCCGTAAGGATCAAACAATACCCCATGTCTCAGGAGGCCCAGAAGGGGACCCAGCCACACATCCAGAGACTACGAAACCTAAGGGTACTAGTTCCTTGTCAGTCTGCCTGGGACATCCCCCTACTGCCGGTCAAAAAGCCTCACACAAATGACTATCAACTGGTACAAGACCTCTGGGAAGTAAATAAGAGGGTCACGGACATACACCCAACTGTTCCCAACCCACGTACTCTCTTGAGCTCCTTGGCACCCTCCAGGGTCTGGTATACTGTATTAGATTTAAAGGACGCCTTCTTCAGTCTGCCGCTGGCACCCCAAAGCCAACCCTCGTTCGCCTTCAAGTGGCATGATCCAGAGGAGGGCTACAGCGGGCAACTCACCTGGACATGGCTGCCTCAGGGGTTCAAAAATTCTCCCACCATCTTCGACGAGGCACTACACGAGGACCTGGGTGAGTACAGAAAGGAGCACCCTGGCCTCACCCTCCTACAGTACGTAGGTGACATCCTGGTTGCTGCCGACACGGCCGAGGACTGTGAGCAAGGGACCCAGGACCTGCTGGCTACCCTGGGGGCCTT